AATATGTAATTTACCCTTAAAAATAAAACGAGAAATGATCATGAAACTGAAATCCCCGACTCATTTCTATTCTCGTCCAATAGATAGAACCTGGAAGGCTTAGGCTTCCTTCGCATGTTAACAACGCTCGATCTCGACGGCTTCAATGCCTTAAGCAGGAGCACCCTGCTGGAGTTCCCTTTGTCGATCAAAGCTAATCCCTTGTAATTCGACGAGGCCGTGGCTAGACGGCCGGGCAACGATGCGGGTGGCTTGTTTAAAACTCGGTGTCGGGTGCCGGTGGTGGGCGAACAGAGGCTCTCTGACTTTGTGTTGGGTAATGCAGCCTTTGACGCCATGGGAAAATGTTTGATGATTTCTTTCTGGTTTTTCATTTTTTTTCGATTCAAAACTGGTTAAGTTGGAGAATGTTTCCAAGGGTTTTTATAGGTTCCAAAAAAATTTAGATTGTGGTTTATTTTTTAAGGTATTTTCGGTAAATAAGAAACAGAGAAAATTGGTTAAATGGAACATCCATGTATGACAGTGAAGAGAGACTAATTCTCCAATTTCAACCTAATATTGTCAAAATTAAAAATAAATCTCTTACATGTTGGCTTAAACCCCCTCCCCCAACAAAATATATATTTTTTATGACAGTGAAGAGAGACTAATTCTCCAATTTCAACCTAATATTGTCAAAATTAAAAATAAATCTCTTACATGTTGGCTTAAACCCCCCCCCCCCCAACAAAATATATATATTTTTTAAAGAGGGTATTTTGTCTTAAAAATATATTACAAAGTACACCACCTAAAGGACCTCGTTACAAAACATCCCTAACCGTATGAGGAAAAATTAAAAATAAATCTCTTACATGTTGGCTTAAACCCCCCCCCAACAAAATATATATATTTTTTAAAGAGGGTATTTTGTCTTAAAAATATATTACAAAGTACACCACCTAAAGGACCTCGTTACAAAACATCCCTAACCGTATGAGGAAAAAGAGTGAACCTTAAGGTGGTAGAGGAGCAATACATAAGAGAATTTTACAACAGACCAGACCCTGCCCCAACTCGTGAACAACTAGCAAGCGAACCAATGATATGGAGAGGGACTTGAGGCAAAACGCACTCAGACGACTAGCCAAGACGGGAAACATATCATGAAGAATCCAGCAGCATCAACCAGCACTATGCAATGGATATACTCACTAACAGAAAATGGTCCAACAAAGCAAAATTGACATGAAGCATATAATCTGAATAACTTGCAGTGCAACCAGAAACATTAATCGAATGGAAACAGACTTTCCAAACGGAATCAGCTCACAAAAATGAATAAGAGACGCTGAGGCGTAGGCTGGTTACCAGAGAGCAATAGCCAACAATTCTACCAGCTGGGCCCATGAAAAAAACGCCAAGCATCTAAATATCTATCACAACATCCCTTGTAATGAAACAGCACGTAATCCAGCATAACTTCCAATGGAACCAAAATCCAGAGCTTCACAATAGCACGTAGAAAGACTGAAACTGGTTTCCATCAACCAAAACTTCTCCAGTGTAAATCACAGACCTACCATAACAAATAAAACTGGCTGCGAGAAATCAACCTATGGCACTGAGCTAAAGCAAACATGAGCTAAAACATAGGATACTAATGTCGCAGAAAAAGCATCAATTATCGAAGTCAAAAATAATAGAAGCCGGAGATCGAACAAAGTCTGTCACATGAGGAACCAGTGACGGCCATAAAATATTAACCCAGAAACCAACCTGCAATAGCACCGGCTGAGAAAGTCTCGCCTTGGAATCTAGTCTTATTTCTGCACAACCAAATTTACCAAATCAATCCGAAAAAACCAATAGACCAAAGATTCCTGATTTTTCTTCTAATATACTGTGACGACCAAATCTCTAAAAACCCAACAAAATATTATTTATCTACCATGTCTAGTTGTCTACCAGGTTAGGTTCGATTCTAGTGAAAAGGATTTTGGACATGGTCAATTCAATTCGGGCCAAACTGGCACTAATTAAAATTATAATCATTTTTTTAATTTTACATTTTTAATATATACAATATTATTAATATAAAATTTTACTATAATTTATGAAGTACATAAAGCGTAAGCATACATATCACAGTATAAATAAGAAGTTATTAAGATATTTATCATAAGTTACAATATTAGTAATCGTTGCTTAACATGCATAAAATTATATGTATGTATCACTAGAACCAGGCAACGATAATATTTTAGGGATTATTATTATACGTAATTTTATGGACACTAACTTACTATTATACATATATAATTTATTATATTTCACAAAGCTCATAAACATAAACATGCACAAGACAATATAAGTAAAAAGTTATTATAATATTTATTATGTCTTATAATACAAGTAACTGTTACTTAACACATAAGATTATACGTATGTATCATCAGACTTGGTCTTCGGTATTATTTTTCATATTTATACTAATAACATGTTCATACGAAATTGTCATCTAAGAAATTACTTCTTCAAGTTAGAAAAAAAGAATTCAACAAAGATATAGCAATGATTATTGAAAGGAAAAAATGTCAAGCAAGAGAAAAATTGAAAGGAAATAAACATGAGTTAAAGAGATGAGAGATCAAAAAAAAGAATAGAAAATAAACATGAGTGAAAATGGAGGAGGCCAATCTAAGGTGGGAAGGTATAATGATCAATCTCAACTGTCCACTAAAAAGTTATTATAAAATTATTTTTGAGAATAAAATTATTGAAATATAAATATATTATTGAAAATGTTACATTACGAGAAAAATCATCCTTTTCTTTTTCTAGGTAGAAATTGTTCAAAAATAATAATAATGTAAAATTACATTACTTGATAAAGAAAATATAAATTTATTTAATTATTCTTATATATATAACAATTTAAATTTATAATATAATTTGTATATCTAAAAAAACCATTAAGGTGCTACTATTTAAATTTAAATTTGGTTAAAAAAAACCAAAGGGTTAACATAACTTTTTGATATCTATTGATATGCAATTTGGTACCCAACTTTTTAATAATGTAATTAAGTATTTAACTTATTAATAGTATAAGTAGGTACCTAAAATTTTTAAAGGTGTAATACAGTACCCAACTTTTTTATGCAATTAGGCACCCAAATTTTAATTTTTGGTGTAATTAGGTACCTAATACTTTTTAAATCGTGTTCAAACTTAAAAATTTTAACATATATTTTTTTATTTTTAACCCATATTATCCCTTTTAATTAAATTATATTAAAATCATAAGTATGTACCAATCATATTTGAGTATGTGTAATTAAAAAATGTAGGTACCTAATTTCATAAAAAAAAACATTAAGTATCCGATTGCACCATTTAAAAAATGTTGGGTACCAAATTACATAAATTTAAGGTTAGGTACCAAATTACACATCAATGCAAAAATTAGTTACCAAAATTTATATTAACCCAAAACAAACACACACAATAAAGACTAGTCTAGTATAGTAACAGACCTACACACTTTAAACTTCAAATTTATAAAGAGCAAAAACAGGAAGAAAAAAAAAGTACAGAGAGCATCACATTTCTTCGGCAAAGGGGCTCGTAATTGTTGCAGGTTTGATTTCTTTTTCTTAGCACTCTTATATTTAATAATTTTCCCTAATTTATTCGTTCCCCCTTTTAATTTGTTTTCGAATTTTATTTAGAACGTGATTCATCACTTGGATTTGATTTCGATCGCTTCGATCTGCTATATTTTCCAGATTTTTCTTGCCATCTTCTTCTATAAATGGCAATAAATGAAGTTACTGGATTTTTTACTATTTATTTTTGTTAGTTTACATTTGAAAATAACCATTTTCGCAGCTTACTGTTAAATAATCGGAAGCAGGGAATTGACTTCAAAAATAATAACAAAATAAAATGGTACGCCGATGATATCCTTTTCTTTAATTACTTCATTTCTTATTGCATTTGTTAATATATAGTTGTTCCTTTTTTAAATGCATTTGTTAATTACTGTCTTAGTAATTTAATCTGATTGAACATAAGGAAAATGAGATATAAGTTGCAGTTGAACTGTGGAGGATTTGATAGCATATAGTTACCATAAATGATTACTAGAAGGATGGAATTGCTATTAGAAAAAGAAAATAATTTGTAGATCTAAAGTAGCTCTAGGTGTAGTATTTGATTATTGATGACTTGAAGGTTGAGTGGGAGGATATTGAAATAGGGGAAAGGTTCAAAGGGTGGGCTATTTGGTTGTGGGGATCGGGAGATGGCACAGGTGAAGTGGTGAATAATCCAGCACGAGTGTGTTCTATATTTTTTCTAAGTTTTCCTATGTATTTGAAGAATTTTTAGAAGGATATACATCCTTAACTATGTCAAACATGGGTGACAGATACAGGTATGTGTCTATGTTCAATTTTTTGAAAGTTTTTCCAGTGTATTTGGAGGTTTCTGGAGGGTCGTACCCTATATTCACTGGTGTCGGACATGGGTATTTAAAAGAAAAATAAAGAGTGGAACAACATGGTAAAAACTGTTTTTGTTACTCCTTGTTGGGACAATGACAGTTACTGGACTATGTAGAGCCCATCCCAATGTTCTGTCATTTGTTCAGGCATTCGTTTTAAAGAAAGATCTAGTTCCAAGCTGGCTGGTTATTTATGTGAAAGTTCTTTGTGTCATTAGTCTTTGATTTACTAAATTGGATTCTTAGAGGTTTATATCTCCATATCTATTGTCAAGACACGGGTATCAGATACGGGAATGTGTCTAACACCGGTATATTCAACTTTTTAAAAGTTTTTGCAATGTATTTGGTGGATTCTTGGAGGGTCATAACTCATATCCCTATATTCACAAGTGTCAAACACGAGTAATTAAAAGAACAATGAAGAGTCGGAACAACATAGTAAAAAGTAAAACTGGTTTTATTGCTCCTTGTTGGGATAAGGACCATTACTGGACAATGTAGATTCCATCCCAGTGTTCCATCACTTGTTCAGTTGTTCATTTTAAAGAAAGATCTATTTCCAAGCTGGCTGGTTTTGTTATGTGAAAGTTCTTTGTCTAATTGGAGTGTGGGATTTACTAAATTGAGCACTGCTCGGATTCATCTGGTGGTTTGTTCAAATAGCAATTCATCTGTATCTTCTTGTCAAGCAGAGAATATGTCCAAAAGCAAATTTCTTTGGTTGGTGACTACAGATAAGTTTTGTGAGTTTGATCACCTTGCAAACGTAATGATCAGATTATTAGATAATGAGTTCTATTTATGCTGTTGAAAATATAACTCTTATCTACAGTTGAGATTTGAAAAATAGCTTTGTTTAAAAACTTCCATACCTGCATTTTATATATGACAACCAATTCCATCATTTATATTAAGAATCAGGAGTGAGGATCTCTAACAGTTCTACCATGTAAGCATAGGAGCAAATGTAATACAATCAAATGAGATGTAAAACCAAAATAATCAACTATAATTTGTTTTCTCGGGCCAATGTTTTATGTAAGGAATACAGTAATATCGTCAATAGTTTTCTATTTAACTTTTTTTTTCTATTAATAAGCAACTTGAAGCATGTTTCTGGCATATTCATTTATTGCCTGTGAAATTTGGATTGATTGCCACAACTTTTATAGGCTATGTACATCCGTGTGAAGCGTAGCAAGACAACATACTTTATCCAATGTGATCCTACTGAGACTACCCTAGACATTAAGCAAAAGTTGCATACCCTCATTGATCAACCTGTTAATGATCAGCGTTTGATCCTAATGAATACTGGGGAAATATTAGAGGATTCAAAATCTTTGGCAGATCAGAAGGTATAAGTTACATCCTCTCTTTCCTCCTTACATTATGCTGGAAAATCTATCTGGAAGCTGTTTGATTGATATCTTACTCCTGACATTTTTGTATGATTATTTGAATTATTTTTGACATTTAATGTGCTCTGTGCTTTCAGGTTGAAAATGATGCTGTTGTGGCACTGACCTTGAGAAAAGGTTGTTTCTTAGTTTTCTTCTTTTTCAGCTTTCATTTCTTTTAGAAGTTTCTTATTGCACGTCATCCATGTATTAAAATTCTCATTTCTAGGCTTAAGTGATTTGCATCAAAGTAGAGGAATTTTTGCTGGTACAGGATAAGCCATAATATATACACTTTTCAATTTGAGTCTTAGATGATAGGTTAACTTGTGTTTTTATAACGAAATACTAATTCTTTATTTCATTTGGTAGGTTAAAAATGACTGTTTGCGTTAACTATGTTATAAAACAAGTGAAGATGCGTTTACTCTTAGTGTAACCTTGCATATGACAGTCCTCTTGTTGGCTATAAGACATGGAGATTTTCTGCCTTAATATGTATTTCGTGCTGAAAGTTTAAAGGTTAAGATACTAAAAAAACCCCTGAACTATTTCACTGATCTTAATAAGCCCCTCTAATATTGTACCCAAATAAACCTTTTTTCTTTTGATTTGTGCCTAAATTCCTTTATTTCAAATGAGATATTGATTTAAGAATTCATTTAGACATAAACTAAAGGTTATCGGCTTATTAAATGCATGTTGGCTTGTTTGAGTACGAAGTGAAGGTTAACTGCTTATTTGGGTGTCGTAAAAATATAGGCTCTTATCTGAATGAAGTGATAAAGTTTAGCCATTTCAGTATTACTTTCGCCGACTTTAAACTATTGCCTCTCTTGGTATGGGACAAACCTTAAGTTGTGATGCCTTTTTCTCCATTTAAATTGTCAAAATCTAAATAAAGTGGAATTTATTTTATCTAGCCGTAGGAGTTGTACAAACTTTTTAGAAACTTGGTTAAGTACCTTCTTTTACCCCTTTAGATGCATGTTTGTGCATGCATTTATAGGCATCCACATTTATGCGTGCATGGGAATACTCGGGGGCAGTATCTTGTTAAAAATGTGTCAAAACACTTTTCCCCAAGGCCCAAGTGATAGGTGATCATTCACTTTAGCAACTTTGTTATACTTAATTTTATCTTCTCTCTCTCTAACTTCTCCGTCTTAATGTGTTTTATATCTTTTAGTCCGCATCCTCTTGTCTCTGTGTGTTTGTTTTCCTGAAACTGAGAATTTAGCTTATGCATTATGATTTCAACCGCTGCTTACTCCTACATCTATATTTAAAGTGGCTAGTGCTAACTCCGGATGACCATGGCTGCAGTAGTTGAACATTTTCTTTCCTTCATCAGTCTTAACTAGTCATGTTGCAATGTATTTCAAATTATCAAGTGTCGAGATTTGGCAACTCTCACTTCAAAGATGGATTCTGTTATTGTAGTCTTGACTTGAAATGAGTGTATGACCAGCACTGGCCATTGTTTACATGTTCTTTTTCAATATCGAATATCGATTAGTCAAAAATGGATAGTAATGCCTCTCCGGCATTGTTATTATGCAAAGAGAATGAGAACGAGAAGCATCCTACACTGTATCATCCTGTCTTTACCATATGCTTTGTGTCATCCACCCCAACCCAACCAGCGTTTTGACAAGCTTTCATATTTTCTGCATGCAGATGACAACGAGTTTGAGGATGTCAACATTGTAAGCCGAACGATTTCTACCCATCTCGTGACGCAGACAACGGAAATTGGTGAAACCACGAATGAATGTGAAAAGAAGTTGAAGCTGATACACAGAAATGAGATTCAGCAATGGAGACAGTAATTTCTACCCATATCGTAAGCCTTGATGTTTTCATCGTTCCATGGAACAGGTTTAACACAGTAATTTCATGCATTGACTTTCAAAATTAACTATAAAGATGGCAAGTTTTCTGGTAAATAATGTTGTATTGCATTCTTGTTGGTGAAATCCCTGATATCTTACAACTCTCAAAATCTTTATTTTTCGAGGTATAAATTAATGGTGGTAAAAGAAAACAAAAAAAAAACTACCATAACTTGAATAAATTACAACGCCTTTAAATATTGCAGAATTTGAGAGTATGAAACAAAGATGAACCCACATGAAATATCCAATTGTCATATTCATTCATACGTGAAGTTTTCTTCATTATTTATCTCCTATAATATTAAATTCACAGTTTTTTTATTAATATGGGTTAAATACAATGTAATATATGTTTAAAGAATAAATATAACTTTTAACCTCATGACATTGAATATTCACACCCTTAACATCTATGGTGTTCGAACCCAGTCATTAAGAAATAACAACAATTATTTTATCACGAAGGCTACTTGGTTCGTGCCACATTTCAAACTTATAATGATAATCACTTCATGAGGAAAAAAGTATTACCTATTTAGAATTTTTTTTAATCAATTGAAAGATCACATATCTTATAGGTACAGCTGTTCGAACTCATGATTTTTCGAGGAAAACAATATTCTTTTTTACTGCTGAATCCATTTGGATTCTCGTATTTTTAAAATTTGTATAAATTATTCTCAAGAATTTATTATGTACACCGACTATGGTGAGTTTATTAATTGGTAAAGGAAATACCCCATCACATTTCAAGATTTATTGTTGTATTGCGACTTCAATTCATAATTAATATAAATAAAAATATAATATATTTGGAGTGTTTGAAATGATTCAGATTTGAAAAATAAAAGGTATTTTATATTGCATGGAGTGGACCACCGCAATTACAATTGTAACTAAATAAAGTATTATAGCATATGAAAAATAATAATGGAAGTAAAAGAAAACATAAAATGGGACTGAATTAACACGTGTATTTAGTTTACATGGGCCTAAAGTAAATTAAAAAGGCTAGTCTTAATGGAAATTGGAATAATAATAATAATAATAATAATAAAGCAAGGCCCAGGCTAAAGGACATTAGCTGTAAAATTAAAATAATGGGCCGAAAGCAGGGGTCACAAATTACAATGTAATTATGGTGTGATTTTAAACAAAGCCTCTAATTGAGTTTAGGGTTGCATCAATTAATGTAAAATCGAACATGTTTAAATATTTAATATTTTCATTTTAAAAATCTTATATTCGAACGGTTGTTTTTTGTTCGAATTACAATCTCGAATGATCGATTATATTTCAAACTTTAAATTTTATAACCTATATTATAGGGGTAGATTATTGATAATTGATCATCATGACTCATAGTTGGCAAGAGAGTTTTATTTAGATTTTTCTAATTTTTAATTGCACCGTATCTTGATCGTCACTAGTAGTAATACTTACCAAATCATAAATTTAATTTATTCCAAATCTAATCTACACGTATTCATATATAATAAAGTGTGAAATCACTTTTCCTTTGATTCAAAGGCAAAACAAACAATAAATGGAGGAAAAGTGAAACGGCAAATTTATGCACTTCTTTTCCCATCAATATTTTCATAAAGTCTCTCGACGAGTGACCTTCGTAATTAAAGTAATATTATTTATTTTAATATTTTAAATTTAAATAATTATATCTATAAGGTATATATTATTAATAATCAAGTAAAATTATAAACGGATACCACTCTATAATTGCACAAGACTATTTACATATTTAATGTCAACAGTTTATTTACATATTTGAACCCCCCGCCCCGCCCCCAATACAATTAGAGGTATGCTAGTTTTAAAGGTACTCAAAACTTTATGGACTACGGCAGAAAACTTCTTAAGATGAAGTGTAAATTACATCATAAGTCACTCTATTGCTAGAAAGCTTACTGTTGGTTCACTATATCTTCAAACGTTATAAATTAAATCCCTTAATTAATTGATTATGACAATCAGGTCACTCTGCTATTAAATCTCAAAATGTTGTTCGACGTATAATATTTTATTCGTAAAAATTCTCATTCTGTATATAATTTTTAAGATAAATTACATCACATGCTACTATGTTATTTATAAGTTTAAGTTAGGTCATCGTATTACAAAAAGTTATAATTTGAGTATCAATGCCATTGTTAGAGTCGTTTTGGAGACAATGAACTCTAAATTTTTCTATAAGATTCACATTGATCTCCTCATTCAATTCATTGAATTATATTTCGAGAATCTATATCAAGAGTGTTAAAAACAAGAATTAATCAAAAAAATTACTGAAATTCCATTTATTATCAGTGCTGATGTACATGACTTATATAGATTTTTTGTTGCTGAACTAAGAAGCAATCTTCTTAACAAACTTTGACAAATGAAACCGTGTAACAATATCCTAACAGCCTATGGCTCTGATTGCCTGCAACACACCATACATCATCAACAATGAGCTTAACTTCAAGCTTCTTGAATCTTCTCCATGCACACCATGCAGTATGTTACGCACATGAAACTGCAGCTCGATCATTCTTCCAACATTCCTCCTGCTTCTTCTCCTTCTACTCCCTTTTAAGACAAACGTTCACTTGCTCTCGAAACGCTGTAAAGGCTATTTTTGACAAAGGCTTTGTGAATCCGTCCGCAAGTTGATGTGCACCAGGAACATAACTAACATATAATTTGTTTCATGCAAATTTTTTCCTGACAAAATACACATCTAAATCGACATGTTTAGATTGTGCATGTTGGACAGGATTTGCACTTAGCGATATGACACTCGTGTTATCACACCAAACGATTGGCTTTTCCTGCTGTGTTACTCCAATATCATTCAACAATGCATCTATCCAAGTAACCTCTGCAACTGCATCTGCAAGACTGCGATATTCAGCTTCCATGGTGGATCTGGATACAACTTTCTGTTTCTTTGTGCTCCATTACACCAAGTTACCACCAATCAAAACACAATGACCTGACATCGACCTTCGATCATCTACACAACCTCCCCAATCAGCATCCGTGAATGCCACAATTCTTAGTGCTTCCTTTGATGGCTTGAAGAGCATACCATACTAAATTGTGTCAGCTAGGTATCTTAGAATATATTTGGCAACCTGCAGATGACTCCCACGTGGTTCATGCATAAAATGAGCAACCTGGCTCACGCTATACACTATGTCCGGTCTTGTGTGACATGCATAGAGCAATGCACCAACCATACTTCGAAACTCTCGAGCATCTTCAATCGGTTTTCCAACATCTCTTTGAAGTTTATTGGATATGACCATAGGTGTACTGGTAGGGGTTGCCCTTGTCATACATATCATCTCTAGTAAATCAGAAATAAACTTCTTTTGAGATAACATAAGACCACTAGTACTGCACTGAACTTCAATCCCCAATAAGTAATTTAACTCGCCAAGATCCTTCAACGAGAAATTAAGTTTGAGTGACTGAACCACTCGTTCAATTGTAGTAACTGACTAACTAGTGATCACAATATCATCGACATAGACAATTATATAGGTAACTTCCCCTTGAGCAAGTGAAATGAACAAATATGCATCTGCCTTTGACACTTGAAATCCAATCTGTAGCATGCTATCTTTCAGTTTGTTGTTCTAGTTCCTGGGAGCTTGACGCATCCCATACGAAGCCTTATGAAGCTTACATACAAGCTTGGTTCCATCCTCAGCCAACTGTTCAAATCCAGGCGGTTGTTCCATGAAGACTTCCTCATTCAAATCACCATGGAGAAAAGCGTTATTAACATCCACATGTCGTAGTGGCCACTTATTTGTTATAACTATAGATAGAATAACATTTAGGGTTGGAAATTTGACCACGGGACTAAAAGTTTCCTTAAAGTCATGTCCTGGTACTTGCAGAAATCCTTTTGCCACTAACCTGGCTTTGTATCGTTGAACTAAACCATCGGGATTTTTTTCAGTTTAAATAGTCATTTACAGCCAACTGTTGTTCGTCCAATTGGCAATGGAATCAATGTCCAAGTTCTATTTCGTTGTAAAGCAGCAAGTTCATCATGCACAACAGAGGTCCATTGACTCGATTTCATAGCTTGATGAATATCAATAGGTATAATAGTATCTTCCATAACAAGGAACACCTTAGGCTTGAAAATGCCATGCTTACTTCTAGAACCATAGGGTGAGTGTTAGTTAGTGGTACCTGATCAGGAACACTCGCATGCTCGACTGAATTTTAAACTTACTCATTTACTCCTTCAGCACTGACCAAAGGAGGACTACTCATGAGTGAATTTTCAGCCGAGTGATCTGAAAATTCAAGTATATTATCTAGCTCATCATCATGACCTGCTTCATTCTCAACATGGCTTGCTTGAGATGATGCACCAGAATGTTCCAAAATTGGTTCCACTGCAATAGAACATACATTATGTCTTCGAGGAATGACCTCTAACGATGCTGATCGTGGAAATGATACCACATGAGGAACATTATCCTTTTTAATAGCTGCAAATGGAAACACAAGTTCATCAAATTTAACATGTCTGCTAATAAAGATACGACCATTGGCTCCAAGACATTGAAAACCTTGATGTTGAGAGCTATAACCCAGAAATGTACACTCTTGGGATCGAGGCATCAATTTATGAGGTTGAAATTCTCGCAGATGAGGAAAACATCTACAACCAAAGACTCGCATGGTTGTGTAATCGGGTTTCTGTTTAAGTAATTTCTCAAAGGGAGAGATGTTATTCAACTCCTTAGTTGGCAGTCAATTTATCAAGTATGTTGTTGTGGTTACTGCATAGGACCAGAATTTGATTGGAAGAGACGTCTGTGTCAGCAACACAAGTGCCAACTCTATTAGGTGTCTATGCTTACGCTCAACAACTTCATTTTGCTCAGACGAGTGAGGACAAGTGACTCTATGCAAAACTCCTGCATGAGCTAACTCTTCTGTCCAGTTTCTATATTCACCACCCTAATCGATTTGTATAGCTTTGATTGACAGTGAAAATTGAGTCTCACCCATGCATTTGAACAATCTAAAGGCAACTATAGCCTGTGACTTATTCTTCAACAGATATACCACGTATGCCTAATACATGCATCTACAAAATATATGTAATACCGAAAACCAGCTGAGGGCTCAAGCGAGGGTCCCCAAAGATATGTGAAAACAAGTTGAAATGGCTCATCATACACCGTGGTTGAGTCAACAAACGGGAGCTTATGGCTTTTACCCAAACAACAAGCAACACACAACTGATTTGCTTTATTTGAAATATCAATAGCAATGGAATTACAAACCAGTTTTAAAGTTGAAAATGTTAGATGACCTAATCTCCTATGCCAAAGCTCAAACGAGTTACAACGATTATGAACGGCATAAGCTTTAGCATTATTACAAGCACTCAGCTGACTATCCAAGGTAAAATAATAAAGTCCCCCTTTTGCAATCCTCGAAGAAGTACATGGCATGTTACTTCATCTCGCACACAACAGGTATCAGCATGAAACTCGAAGAATAAGTGATTGTCCTTAGCAAGCTTTGACACAAAGAGAAGGTGTTTAGTTATTTCAGTAACATGCAACAAATCAGTAAGTAGTAATGTTTGAGAAGACGATCGTAATACATATCGACCTACTGATTGAACATTAAAAGATGAACCATTTCCAACCACGAGATTACCTGGTCCATCAAGATCAGTGAGATGGTTGATGTGAGCAGCATCTGCATGATGCGTCGCGCCTGAATCTACGATCCACTGTAGAAGGAGCTGCAGCGCCCCGTGTAGCTTCTGAACTGGTTCCTGACTTATTAGCACAATACGTACAAGCAACACTATCAAGATTAACATAGTTAGCACTGCTCGAATCCTCCTTAAATTGTGTTCGAGCATTAGTGGCAAGAACTCCAGCAAAGTCACGGTCAAACCTGTACCAGCATCGATCAACCGAATTACCAACCTTACCATATAACTGACATTGCAGCCGTGCTCGACCTCTACCACCAGCTCGATCATCACGCACTGTTAAGGACTGTTTCTTGAATTCATGAGAGGTTTCAGATCCAGTAGAGCTACCAGGAATTTGTCCATGAGCGACATTAACACTTATAGGGAAATTCTCAGGCTGCGAATCAAAGCCAGCTAATTGTGTCTCTGTATCAACCAGCATAGAGTAACTCGATCAAGGGATAGTGTGTCAGGGCTCGATGTAATGACAGCCATAAACGATATTGGTATTCTCTCAGCAAGCCTTTCAGAATACTAACCACATGCTCCACCTGCAAAACCGGGCTTCCACATGATGTAAGTGCATCACATACTTCTTTGATTCGAGTGAGATACACACACATGGAATCATTGCCATTCCTCAGTGATTGCAGCTTATAGTGCAAGTTCATCACTGTAGTTGTGGATTTGTTAGCAAAAAACTGAACAACGGTATTCCATACAGCTGCTGCAGTTTCAGCTCCAACAAACTGTGGTTGGAGGGGAGCACTAATCGTCGATAAAAGCCATGAGGCGATAGCACTATCTTGTGCCATGTAATCCTCGAACGCCTCATTAACAACCGACGTACCTTCAACACTGACAGTAAACTCAGGTGGAATAGGCATTGTGCCATTGAGGAGCCGCTCCAAACGATGGATGCGCAACGTAAGCAGGACCTGCTGCCTCCACAGCAAGTAGTTCGTCTCGTCTAGCACCACATTAACCTTTTATTGGTAAACATGCGCTCAGCATGAACTAAGAGATTAAGCAGCAACAAACATAGGAGCCCCAGGATCCTTAGCGAAAGATACCATGTTAAAAACAAGAATTAATGAAAAACAATTACTGAAATTCCATTTATTATCAGTGCTGATGTACATGACTTATATAACATTTTTTTGGTTGTTGAACTAAGAATCAATCCTCTTAACAAACTTTGACAAATGAAACTGTGTAACATATTCTAACAGCCTATGGCTCTGATTGCCTACAACACACCATACATCAACAATGAGCTTAACTTCAAGCTTCTTGAATCTTCTCCATGCACACCATGCAGTATGTTACGCACATGAAACTGCAACTCGATCATTCTTCCAACAAAGAGCAAAAAAAAAATCACTCTAAAACTTTGGAAATTCTTATACCCTGATCTATGTTGTTCATCATTAGATGACTAAGATATATTATTCATCTCATTGACAACCTCTTCACCATTTGGATTGTTTAATGGAGTCCCCGGTCTTTAAGAAACACAAATGGCTCCAACAACCATCACGTGTACCAAAAAAATAATTAAATATATATATATATATATATATATATAATGATATCTTTTTATGTTTGTTTGGGATTTAACGACATAATAATATGATTGTTGCAATTGATTGAATGAATGACAAGATAATAACTTTTTGAAATAAAATAACTCAAGGGTAAACTTGTTAATAGCAGAGTGAATTGTGATGTAATTTACCCTAAGGTAAATATATAAATTTTTTGTTAAATTTAGAAAAATATAATTTCATTTTAATTTTTTAATTTTTGATAAAAAAAAAAGAGTTGTTCGATCAATATCTTATTTCAACGAAAGTGTTTCGCTATTTCAATATGAATTTGGTTGACAATTTTGCTTCTTTTCTTTTATACATAAACTTATTTTATGTGTGTCCGTGTTTTGCTTGTTTATGACTTTCTTTTTTGCTTTTCTTGGACATGAACGTCATGCGTGGGCCAATAAAAAATGGCCACGTCACAATGTTGGGCTTGGGAGTTTTTGATTTTTACGTGTTGACTAATTTACACAGTGGTCAGTCCCTGACCATGTAATTAAGTGGGACAATAAAATAAGTTTAAGTGATTAAAATAGAAATGATTAGAAAGTTCAATGACTAAATTAAAATTTTAAAATTTTAATGATTAAAATAGGAGTGAGAAAATAATTTAATGATGAATGATATAATTTACCCTAATTATTTTCATCTTTTTTATTTTACGAATGTATTATAGTCTTTAATTTTTTTAAAAAATAATTTATATTTTTTAATAATCTAGAGTGATTATAAAAGGTTATACATTAAGAATTTTTTTTATTGACAATCCACACACTTTTATACACAATTGCTCGAATTAAGACTTTTAACAAAATTTCTTTAACAATAAGTAGTAGATGGTTCTTAAATTAAATTAGTTATATTAATTAGTAGAATTAATATGAAACTTCTTAAAAGCCTTAATTTTTGTAATTTTAATTATTCAAATAAGATTGAAGAGATAAATAAATACTATTGTATTAACCATGTGGGATAATAATATTAAAACTTTAACCAAAAGCATTTGAAAAGTTTGACTAATAATCATGTTCAACTGTATGGTTATCATTTGGTGACCTTGGAGGCTAACCAACTTTTACTGTACATCTCACCTCCATAAACTAATAATTCAAATGATTTTTTTATCAAATTCAATAGTCCAAAATATATAAACTTGTCGTATATATAAAATATATGATTTCAATTTTAAAAATAACTTTTGGATTCATTTTCGGACAACTTTCTTCTTCTTGTTTTGTCTTGTAATTTAATTTAAACTAATTAAATGACATTACACATGAGAAAAGGAAAAGATGTGTGGGATTTTAATTATAGTTTGAGTTGATTTAATTATATAATTAATATTTATAATGAATTTCTATGATTGTAAATTACACTTAATTGTTGAAAACTATAATATAAAAATAATATATAATGAGGATTGAGATCAATTTGATTTGGATATATATTTTTAATCATTATGATAATACGATTCTCATTCTTTTTTAAAAAATTGAAACCTAATACATTTTTACAAACTTACAAATATAGACCATTCAACGTTATATTTCAGTCAATTATTTTCCAACCCTACATGCAGGATCGAGATAACAGGTGGAGGCAGTCGTCTCTTGAAATTTCAGATTCTTCTATATTTTAAAACTTTATGTGTATTTTTTTATTGATATTCTGTTTTCGTCCCTCTAAGTTGTATAAGTTTACTTTTCCTAAATGTTATAAGTTTGTCTATTCTATTATAAAATCCTGAAACCCATCAAATAATTTAATGATAAAGGGAATATTATTCTCCCTGGAGATATTGCATTCAAGCAAGTACGTCTGTAAAATATATGCATTGTAAATAGGTTAGAAAATTTGAATAGATATTATCTTTTAATTATTCCATACTATTTAAAAAATCATGTGATTCGTCCTTAAAAACATGAGTTAGCCTAAGTGGTTAGATTTGAAACGAGGATGCTTAGCTGCTTATTTTTTGTTTAGTACAAGCTATAAATTAAGTAAACATTTTTGGTAGACTAGTTCAGGGTTACACATATAGGAACCTACCAAGTGTGACATGCTATACTTCATTATTATATTTATCCATGCATAATTAAATTGTAAAATAAATATTAAAGCTCGAGTTTAACCCAAGTACTTCATACCATTGTTTTTATGAGTAGGTATTCAGTAGATTTAGACTTATTTTAGCAAATTTGAAGTTGCAATCTAATATTTGAAAATTTTAAGTTGAATCTTTGAATTCATAACATGAATTATTATATTTACATAATTTTAGTTAATGTAAAATTTGAAACTCAACATATACACCCATTTATCATAAATTTAAAGTTACGTCTTAACATATTCTATATTTTTTAACTCGAAAAAATGTCGTTTATAAAAATAAAAATAAAAAGAAATTAGAAGAAAATCACTGAAGGTTATTGGCATAGGTTTACCAAAGTGGATAGGTAGATACATAATTTATTAAAATCCAAAAAGAACCTAACGAATGAGGGAGACTCACGTCCACCTCACGTAGTGTGAGACGGGCCAAAAGGACAAATTCATCGAGTTAGTCGATCATCCCTTTGATAGAAACCACACGAAATTTTCAGTCCCTTTCAACCCTGTGTCACATCCACACCAAAACCAAAATTTACGTACTAAACATCGTGGGTTAGTTGATACATTCGTTAACCACCCTCTTAAAAATAGTATATACTATCATATTTGATTTTTTTAAATTATTTAATTTATGTGATGATTACAAAAATAATATCTATTCGAAATTCTTCGAATAAATTAACAATAAACACACATTATACAGACGTTATTGTTCAAACATGAAACATCTTGAAGAGCAACATTCTTTTTAACTACATAGATCTTTAATACTTTACTGTTATAATATTCATAAAACATGATTACAAGTTATTATTGTTCAAATACTCTTAATCATTTGACAATGAATACGTATACTCCTACGTATGCGATGCTCAAACTCGAAACTTCAAGGGATTACAACAATCTCTTAATTGCTGAAGTCACTTGGTTCGTCCAATAAAAATCAGTTTAAATGTATTTAAAGCTACACTATTTATTTAATATAAAATTATTTATAAAACGGAGAAAATGTCATAAATTTAGAGAGGGGTGGAACGAAATAGGTGGGAGGAATGAATGCAATTTCAATGTTAATATGAATGCAACTTTAAGTAATGTTTTAAATTAGCAATGGTTTCAAATTTTGTTGGTAGTGACTTCGATGTATGGGTAACATGCAGACCATGGAATTTGGAAATTTACATATATGAGGAAATTGTTTACTTCTTTTAAGGTGCGACAAAATATTAGTTTTTATTAATTTAAAGTAATTTCAGTGGTTGAAATGGACATTTTCCCTTCAAAGTTGGACATAATCTACAGATGAAAATATTCTTACCAATCGGCACCTTTACGGATAAATTGTTTTTTCCTTCAAATTATAAATGGGTAAATGGCTGGTTCTATTAAATTTTAGAGTAAAATACGTAGTTAGTCATTCATATATTTATACGGTTAAAAATAAACAGAATTATTGATATGATTTTTTTTTAAAATTTTCTTTTCAATAATGATATGATATAATCTTATGGTTACACATTAGTATCACCGTTAATTTTTTAACGATAGGTGATCAAAATGTAACATTAAGAATGATTTTAGAAAAAATAGTTAATGACCAAAATGGAATCATGAGAATAGATAAGTAACTAAATACATAGTTTATCCTAAATTTTACATAGGACTCTTTCTTCTCCGTTTGACGAATTCATATTCTGAATTTTATAAGGCAGATTTTAAGCGTCGATGGCTTACTCGGTCATACATATATTTACCGGCCAGATTTTTTTTAGTAAAATTCGAAGAAACAATAAATAAAATGTTGAAAAGAAATGGGAAATTAGCAAAAGAAACCACCCACTTCTCCATCGGGAAAAAGCCCAATAAAGTAGGTGGCGGCAAAACAACTGCCTTGCTCTCCTCTCTCTTTCAACTGAAATTACAGTGTCTTCTTCCCTCAATTTTTTTTAAAAATTAATCCCTCGAATTTATTGCTATCTATTTTATGCCTTTTCTCTTTGTTAAATCTCTCTCCCTTTCTCTCTCGCTCGCAAGAAACCGACAAACTCAATAGCTATTTTCATCCTCCTGCCGGAATATTCGTTCTCCAATCATCCCCGTTATCCGTCCTCGCCTATCCGGCGATCGCTCTTTCTGTTCCTTTTTTCTGTAATTTTTTCGGATTCTGGAATTTCTCAGGGTTGATTTTTCTGTGATTGAGTCGCTTTGGAAGATCTTTTTTCCGATCGATTAAAAGGTAAGACGTGTCTTGTGTAATTTGCAGCTTTCTGCTTTGATTTGTTCTTGCTGTGTAGATCACTCATATTAGTAGAAAACAAAAATAAATTATAAAATTAGTTTAGTTTTTATCTATTTTCTTTTGTTACCATTTTTAGCAGTTGATTTTAAATGAATAATCTCTGCAACTTTGTAACTGGGAGATCTGCATAAACCATTTATTTATTTTTAATATCACCGTATTTCGTCTTCTATTTTGGAGACATAACCCTGCTAAATCCAGGCACTACATGATTGTGGATTCTTTTCATTAAAAAAAATTAATTTCCAGTTAAATTATTGCAATCTTAGTTTTAAACCTTTAATCTTTCCTGTGATTTCCATTGTTTCTGTTCCTCAAACTGGAAAAACAAAACAAACAAAAATGCACAGAGGGCAACTTAGAAAGTAATTTTTTTAAAAGAATAAAAAACGATTTTGTTTCTAGGAATCAATTGCTACTATGTTTCTATCTGTATATTAATGTGTTTTTAATTCATGTAAAAATATTAAACTATTATTTAAAGTTTTTACTGTTAATTCATGGGGATGGACACTGGTCTTCCTTCCACGTGGGACTCCAACTCTCTTCCCATATCGTCACCAACATTAGCACTGCAAAAACATCAGTCTTGTTCTTCTCTCATCCCAATTATTCAATTTCTCAATCCAATACGGATACAAACAAACAATCTTACGTGATTACCTAATTTGTTTAATTGCACTGCATTTTTACGTTTTTAAATTGTTATGTTAATTTTACTGTCACCTAGTAGTTAATCAAACATGTGATCCCAGGTAAAAATCCCATGCGATCAATTTAGTATTTTTATGGAAAGATAGTACATTTTAAAAAAAAGAAAATTTGATCATTTTCATTGAATTCCTATTCATGGAAAGCAGGTGGGAAGGAAGGGAAGATGCCAGGGTGGGCTGTTTATTTATTTCTGGGAGTGAAAATCAGTGAACCTCGTTGTGATTTTTCATTTTTGTTTTTCCACCCCAGCTGACCCGTGACGAAGTGGAGATATTAAGTTATTAACATTACAAAATTAGTGACATTACAGCTAGAAGGTTTTCTTATTCCGCTAGTGTTGGTACGAGTATAGTTTTGAGATAAACATTTAAAAAAAAAATTTCCTTTTATGTATTTGTAGAACTTATACATACATATGTACATATATATATATATATATGTGTGTGTGTGTGTTCTTTCCCTCTCTCCCCTACGCGCCATTCTTTTAGCTGTCTTCTTATCCTACACCCCCACCACCAGGAAACAAAAACCATTGGAGACTTCGACAGTGTAGTTTCTCAAAACTTCACAGTGGACCTCTTAGTGTATTGTATTTGCAATTTTATGTGAGATTTAATTTAACCAAAAGCCATAGTGATGACCGTTAATTTATATTTGGCAGAATTCTACTGAAATTTGTAGAGGACAGCCCCGGACCCCCCCCCCCCCCAAAAAAAAAAAAATTGTACCTGATGCTGTTTTATCACTTCTCAGTCTCATTTTTCTGGCTTGATCTGCTTGGATTTGTGCTTTCTTGATTAATAAGCTATGCCCCTTTCAGTTAGTTTCTTGTAATTCTCTAATTCTTCATCAGTCAGATCTGGGCATCTATAAAGATGTTTCTTTTTTCTTTTTCTCCTATGGTGTTGATAATTGTAACTGTGCTCTCTGCCATTCTGTAAGCATCTAACTTCTGGTTTGTGCATTTGTGGCCAGATTCATTGCAGGGAAAGTATCTTCCTTTTGAGTGCTGGCGTTATTCCAAATATGTGTGATTCATGTAAAAGTTAGGCTGTTTAATGTAATTTAGTGAGTGTTCTTTATGGAAAATCCCATCAATGTGGTCTAATTTGGAAGGTTTGGATGGATATGTGTGAATCAGAGCGACGATTGCAGAAGCTTGCAGCCATTGATACCGCAAGGCGACCCCTTGTTCCTGCTGAAAAAAACAATGCACCTCTCGCAGTTCGGCAGCCTCGAACTAGGGAGATTAGTTCGAGGTATAAATCACCCATTCCTTCAACACCTTTTGGTTCCAGGCGTTGCCCATCTCCAAACCTTACTAGAACAACCTCTACTCCTTCCCAGATGGTGCAAAATAGATCTATATCAGCTGAGAGGAAACGCCCCTCAACACCATCTTCACCTCGAAGTCCATCTACGCCGGTTCAAGATTCATCAGTAGGTGTGCAGATATCATCTAGAAGGCTTTCAAATGGCCGCACACCTGAAGGTTTATGGCCATCTACCATGAGAAGTCTTAGTGTTTCATTTCAGTCGGATACAATTTCAATTCCTGTTAGCAAAAAGGTAAAAGAAAAACCGGTTAGTAATATTTCATTGGATCGTACTTTGAGACCTTCTTCAAATGTGGCACATAGACAACAGTCTGAAAAATCTACTTTATCGCGCAAGCCTACTCCAGAGAAAGAGAAGTCCTCTTAAAGGGAAGAATGCGCCTGATCAATCTGAAAATGCTAAACCAGTTGAAGGTTTGCCTGGCCGAACAATAGATCAGCATCGATGGCCTAGTAGAATTCGTGGGAAACTATCTTCCGATTCATTGAATAGAAGTTTAGATCTGGGTGATAATAAGATTGTTAAAAGTTTATCTACACCAGTTCCTGGAATGGGGTTATCTTCACAGAAGAGAAGGCCAATTTCTGATAGTTTGAGTATCACTCAAAAGAAATCCGCTAGTGAGACTTCCAATTTGTTATCACTTAATGAAATCAGCCGGATAGGACCTGAGGCAATTTCAATTGATGATAAGTCTCTGCGGGTATCTGGACCTGCAAGGCTCCTTTCTGCAAGTTCATTGGACAAAGTGACACTGGCAACTCATGCTTTCAAATCTCAGTCTTTGTCTGCTCCTGGATCACGTCCTCAGACACCAAATAGAACTTCTGTTTCTAGGGGTGCCAGTCCTTCTCGGGAAAGACCTTCCACTCCACCTCCAAGAGGAGCCACTGCAACTCCAAGGGGAGTCAGTCCATCTCGGATGAGGACATCCACCTTATCTAGTCAATCCCATAGCTCAACTTCAGTTCTTAGTTTTATTGCAGACTTTAAGAAGGGAAGAAAAGGTGCAAACTACATAGAGGATGCTCATCAACTGCGGCTTCTTCACAATCGTTATTTGCAGTGGCGATTTGCTAATGCCAGGGCAGAAGCTGTACTGTATTTTCAGAAAATTACTGAGGAGGTAGATTTCTTCTCAAAATGATCAACTTTGCATCAGCAAACATTACTCTATGTTTTAATAAGGGAGACTTTTGATGGTTAGAATAGAAAAGTTATACATTCCTGATGCATTTATGCAGTAATGGAAAAAAATTCTGATTGGTTGCTTGCTTCTTTGAATCACTGTTCACCGGATCAGTTTCGTACTGTGATGAATTTTTTTGACAGTTAGTATCCCATATATGCACTTAGAGCTTTAGGAATGGCATGGATAGTGGATTGCCTCTTCTATAGTATGTTAAATCTTTTATCAAAGAAAATTTTGATCTGCTGTTGCAGGAAACTTTGTACAATGTCTGGAATGCTACTTTGGGTCTGTGGGATGCTGTGATCAAGAAAAAGAACAATCTCCAACAATTGAAGTTAGAGCTCAAGTTGAACTCGGTTTGAATGATCAAGTAATGGTTGCCTCTATTTCTCTTTTCATAGCAAATTTTTATTCTCCTCATACAGGTTCGGTGTTAGAAGTGCTTTATATTTAAGTTTGAGATTATTCTAATAGTTTATGTACATTTTTAGTTGTGCAACTCCTGGTGAAGATACAGGAAGGTTGTCTGTGGATGCTTATGTATCTTCTTTATACCTTCAGGTCTAAATTATTATATTTTAGGGAAATGAGGGTTCAACCTTGAATGCGCCTTTTGGAGGAAAGGTGAAGTCATTAACCTATGGCTTGACCATTCTATAGATCTAAATTTTATAGTAATAGAATATTTGTTTTGAATGGCATGACATTTTGAAGCATCATTTAGATGAATAAAAGGCTTATTTTATAGTTAGATGCTTATAGGTAATAATATAGCATTGTTTTGGGCCTCCAAGCTTCTTAGATTTGGCAGGGGTACTGATTAGAATGAACTTTAGAGGTCTGCTGGAATTTAAATACTAATCTTCTAGTGGTGTTAGCCGTTTAATGGGACAAAGTAAGTCGAATCTCATAGATACTTGGAAAAGCCTTGACTGGAGGCTCATTATACAGCATGTGTTTTTCCCCAAATTTCTGTATTTGAGGATTTAGAGGTTTTCTTCATGTGGATTCATTCCGTATTTTGGTGCTACATATAGGCACTGGTAATTTACTTCTGACATGTAACTCTAGTTTGATGCCACTAAAATATATTTCAAGTTTGAACTTTTCCATCTTGGTTTTAGGAACCTTTTTCAGATTCAAATATATTTCAAATTTCCATTTTTAAAATGCTTACTTATTCAGCAAGTTTCATTGGATATGGCAAACTTTACAATTAAGACCTAAAAAGATTGGGCGTTTCCCTTAAATGTGATGAAATATCATAACATAAAAGGGTATATAAGACGAGGTGTCAAGTGTGTATCAGAGGTATCTTTGGCCAACCTGGTCTGGCCTGACTCATGATACATCTTTCCCGAAGTGGCCTTCACTTGATAACTACTATGTTGTTTTCTAATTATTACTTTTTACGAGTGCATCGGAGTTAAAATTATTAGATTATACCTTTTATCTTAATCAATCTTGAATTGATTGAAGAGAGAATGAGTGATATATTTCGTGTCTTACATTTTGAATAATTGCTTATGATCAACTGCTAATGTCTTCAAAAGTTGATATAAGGTGTTATCTTTAATCCTAAATGGAAATTGCTCATCTAAAAATTGGAAAAATTAAATATTCTGTCTCTCTCATTTCAAGTATTTTTTTTAGTGGTCGGCACATCAATATAGATTCATTCCACTGAATTTTCTTTGTCTAAATACATGCGTATGTAATTCATGCAGATGGGATATCTTAACAATTGGGCATTACTTGAAAGAGATCATGTAAGTTCTTTAGCTGGAGCAGTAGAAGATCTGGAGGCAAGCACTCTGCTTCTTCCTGTAACTGGAGGGGCAAGGGTAAGTTCAATAAAACACTTTGGATTGATATCTGAAAAGAGAAATATTGACATTATTACTGGATTCTGTGCTCATCAGGCAGACATTGAATCATTGAAAGCTGCTATTTCCTCTGCTGTTGACGTGATGCAGGCTATGGGATCCTCCATTTGTTATTTACTCTCAAAGGTGTTTTTCCTTCCCAAGCCTGTTATTTCACATTTCTGAACATAAATGCCTGACATTATACGCTTAAAGAACAAATATCAATGCTGTTGTCTATACTTACTACTGTGGTTATCTGATATTTAAATTTAAGATGCCAACTGCTGGTATTTTACATTTTAAATTTTAATTATGGTTCAAGTAGAAGTTTTATTTCTGTTTATTTTACTTTAAGGTGTAGAGACAAGTGTTTCTCGTAATTTCAGCTTAGATGATGTAGATAATTTTAAAAAGAATTTTTCTTCTTACCCTTATTTCTTTTTCTTTCTAATGCTATGGTGAGAGCATATATCTTTGCTAATGACTCTAAATTCACATCAACCACTTGGATTTTGTGCCATGCTGCTCCAATGGGTGACAGATGGTTGATTCTGATGTTAACTTGCAGTTTTTTTGCTGATATATCTTCATTTCATTCTGGAAGCTTAACTATTTTTCAATATTATACATGCTATAGGTGGAAGGAATAAGCAATTTGGTTTCTGAGCTTGCTGCAATAGCTACGCTAGAGAAAAACATGCTTGACCAATGTGAAGCTCTCATGGCTTCAACAGCGGCTATGCAGGTAAGGACACATTAAATGCTTGCTGAATTTCAAGTTCTTGGATTAAATATGACTATATCTCAACTTGACCAATTCCTCTATGATTCTGTGAATGTTTATTCCTCTGTTGCAATGACCGATACGTATTGTATGTAATGAAAAATCTACAAAGCATGAGGATAGGATTTAAAGCTATTATCCTCTTTAGAAAGAGAAGTTAGGGAGGATTGAATTTGACTTTCAAGTGATGCTTATACTATCCCACATGGAAAATGACATTAACATAGTCCACTCTGTTTAAGCCAAAACCAATCTTCTTGTGGGAGAAAGGCTTTAAGTCAGTATTACGTCATGTCAGTTTAGTTGATTATGCTGAAGCGGAAATTTCTTTCATGTGCTCATGGGGACAGGTAAGAAATTTCAGTATGAAGCTGATGTGTAATAGTTGGAATGCTCTGACGTGCATGCTATATTTGCTTGAAACCTAAGTTACTTAAGACTTTGATGCAAGTGTGTATATAGGTGACACGGTGCGTTTGATTATTTCTAAGCTTTTCTATGTACTTGAGGATTCTTAGATCACATCCGATATGCTCCACACAGATCGGTATGGTTACTTAAAATAAAAAAAATGAAGAGTCATAGCAAGAATGCTTGAAACTGAGTGAACCAATCCATCCCTATCAAACTGGCTGGCCAATGACACTCATTCTATGCATGTGCCAACTGAGCTGGCTAGAATATATTTCTGCAAATTGCAAACTTTTGTTTCTATTTTCTAATGCATGTAGTTACTTCGTCTTATTTCATTATATATACATATACATGTATGTATGTTACACTCAAGACATTTGACAGTTTTTGGTGGTGTTATTGAACAGTTAGAAGAGTACAGTCTTAGGTCTCATCTCATACAAAAAAACAAGCTTTGGAGAGGAATAAGCAGGCAACGATGACGAGCAAAACAGTATTTCCATGGCCATAAACCGGCTGGTAAGCTAATAATAATCTCTACCAACATATTATCCTTTAAAGTGAGAAAATTTTATTACAATATCTGCTCTGCCAACCCCAGAAAAATGTAAATTTTCCCCTTTTTGTTTTTGTTGGTATTTTTTTTCTTTCATTTTTTTTACCCTTTCAGAAGATGGAGTCATTGGCTCTCATCTTTTTCCTACGTGTAATTTTCTCATGAATAGAAAAAGAAAAATTGCAAAGGAAACGAATTATTTGATATTCAAAGTAGAGGCCAAACTTCATTCCATTTAACCTGACTAGTAAATTTCATATTTGTATGATTGTATTATTTTCAAGCTCCCATCTCTGTTTGAAAAAGAAAAAGAGGCAATATTTATGTACCACAAGGATCGGTTTTCAACTAAAATTCAAACATGTGTGGCCGTGGTGTAAGAAATCAAAGTGGTAAACTTTTATATATATATATATATATAGAAAATCAAAGTGCAAACCTTACATCCTAAACATGAGAGCTTGACGTTGCCAATAATCCACTGCCAACTCATGAGAAGCTCATTAAAGATGGGATACACGATCAAGTGCTTGAACCACAGTGAAATGTTCTAAGAGTTGGTAGGTTCTTATCTTAATAATGTACAAAATCAACCCTATGCTTTTGTCCGTAAGCAACAGGGGTCATTTTGGAAGGACTTTGTTTTTCATCACTCAAATTCAATGAAACAAAGAATGATGCATTTTCTTTTTACATCATTTTCCATGAACCTCTTTTAAATATTCTCCCCTTTCAACATCTATGGATGCTTTCTGAGTTCTTTTTCTTGCCTCGCCTTTTTGGATGTCTCGTTAATTGTGTGAACATTTTTATTGTTGGCTCGAAGATCAATTTTGGGTGATCTTTTAACTTTAGCTTTGCCCACCGCTGCAGCTGCCATAATTTAAAAATATATATTATAATATTTCTATAAAAATAAAAATGTTACAATTTTTATTTACCAGACTTCCTTTTAATAATTATCAAACGTAAATAATTTTGAACAAAATATAATCCTGAATTGGGTTTTTACATTAAATTAAAAATACTTGAACATTCAAGTCCAAACTAGTTTAAACAATTAAAAATTAGGGTAAAATACTCAAATGATCCCCCAATTATAGGATAAAATTTTGTTGAATCCTTCGACTATTAAAAGTTATAAAATGATCACTTGACTATTCATTATATTCCAAACTCATAATTTTTCGTTAAATAATTAACGATCATCTGAATTGGACATTAATATGATGACTGAGATATAATACTCGTTTAAGATTATGAGATCAAATTTGATCATATCTCAATCAGCATGTTAACATTTAACTCAGGCTATCATTAACTTTTTACCAAAAAATGGCAAGTTTGGAACATAATGAATAGTCGGATGATCATTTTGTAACTTTTAATAATCGAGGGACTCAATAAAATAATTTTCTATAATTGAAAGACCATTTTATAAGTTTTAATAATCGAGATACTCAACAAAACATCATATAGTCATAAGATCGTTTGTGTACTTTATCCTAAAAGTTAAAACATGCTATATACTTTTAAAACTCTCTATTTTACCTTGTGTTTAGATAAATATTAGTAAGATTTAATATAATAATAAATGTCCAAATTATACCCTTTTTCTAAAGTGATGGCTAAATTTTTTTCTCAATCCAAGCGTCTAATGTTACAAACGTTACCAACCGTTAAAAGAACCTGTTAAGTGACACATGTCCCCCTCATGTAATTTTAAAGAAAAACTTAAAAAAAATCAAAATTAAAAAAATCTTAATTTCTCTCTAATTATAAAAAACCCTATATCTCTAAAAATCCTAAATCTCTAACCCTAACCTTATCTCCTTTGGCAGCCATGGTCGTCGTCGTCGTCAATGTCATCCTTATCATCTCCCTAATCAGATGTCATCATCATTGTCATTAATTGATCGATAGGATCGCAATTTATAACCTTGTTCTTTGTCGGGGTCACGTAATTCGTCGTTCATCTTGTGATTGTTCGTAGGATTATTGATCGTCTAGTGGAGATGAAGTCAAGTGAAAGTTCAACGACGATAAAAGACTACGGCCGATGTGAATTTAAAGATTGAAATAAATATTTTCAAAGTTATACAATTGTTTTAAAATTTCTACAAAGTTTGAGAATTTTTTAAAAATAAATTATATTTTTAAGTTTTTTATTTTGAACATAAAAATTCAAAATTTTCAAAACATGACACGTGGTATTTAACAAAATTTTTAATGATCATTACTACTGAAATACATAAAATGATAACATTTGTAACGTTAAAAGCCTAAATTGACCCAAAAATATATAATTTAAACATTTATTTTTATATCAGTCCTATTAGTATAAGAAAATACATGTTAAAGAAATAAAAGGATATGTTCTATTGATGTTTAGATAGTTGAATTAATAAGCGGAGGAATACCGTGTAAAAGATATGCTGAGATTTATGATAATTTACTTGATTAAGAGAAGAGCCGAAGTTCAATTGCCACGTTTGCATTGCTAAATCTAACCGAGTTTTCTAAAGCATGAATTTTAAGATTTTTTTCTTCTTTCTTTTTCAATCAATTTTTTAGTCTGCCACTCCTTAGAGCGTTCCTTCCGCTACATTTGAACTGCCATTTCCGCCTCTCCTGCTCGCCGTCGTGTTCTTCACTATCTGCACCCACATTTCCATTATTCACTAAACCCCAACTTTATCTAATAATTAACTCTATCATCATCTAATTAAATTAACCCTCAACCTGTATAATTGATAAATAATAGGATAAACTACACCTTTAATATCCGAACCACCAATTTTATTCTATTTTGATCTCCCAACTATTATTTTTGTTTCAAGATTATACCTATAGTTACGTTTCGATTTTATTTCGATCGACCATCGTTAAAAAATTTAAAAAAACTACCAACGATAATCTTTTAAGTTTTTTCAATGATGATATCAAACCTATCAAAATGAAATTAATAGGTAATTTTAGGTATATTTTATAAATAATTAGATAATCAAAATGAAACAAAAATACTTCTAAACTTATAATTTACCCTAAATAATCATAAAAGAAACTGGTACCACAGTTTGACACCTAACCCACCGAACTTTTTCATCAGGCAAATGGAGCAGTGTTCCACGTCATTACTAAATAACCCAATTGCTTATAAAATCCATTATAAGGTGAAAATGATGTAGAGAAAGTGATTTACTTGTCGAAGCATCTGATTCTCGTTGTGCAATGTGGAGAGCCTCTCTTCAAGCTCAGAGTTCTTCTTCTCCAAGTCTCCAACTCTGCTCTCCAGCTCATTCAGGTACGCTTTTTCCTCTCCCTTGCTTGTTGCGCCGATACTCTATTTCTCAACAACCTTTTCCAATTCCCCCAATTTTCAAAATTCAATCAATTACTCAAATGCCACTGCCTTTCACATGCTTTAACAAACGTGGGCAAAACGGTAAATATCACACTCAACACTGATCCAAACGGCAAATATTTACCTCGTTAACCGCTTGTTCTCTTTGTCCGCAGGACTCCTCCCTCTCTTTCTCTGACCGCCGACCCCCGATGGCTGAACCCAGTCCGGTCGGGTAACTGAACCGGCTTCTAGACCGGTGGTCGGAGCTGCTGAAGCTTCCCCTCCTATCTCAGGCACTCTCCGGATCTCTTCGTCACTTTCCATGCCTTAAAAAAACAAAAATATAAATCGGATTTTCAAGGTAATCAATGAAAATGCGGTTATTTTGATGCATTTTGCCGAGAATTTTAAAACGAGTAAATCCCAGAATGCTAAAAACTTTACAAAAACCATTTTCCAGAAACTAAAACTCAGATGGTAAAAAGCTTAGTAACTTTTTTTTTCAAAAAAAGAAGAAGAAAATCATTATGGACCAAAGATAAACCACTTTATCTTGACATTTTAAAAACAGAACTAAATTATAACTTAAAAAAACAAAAACTTACCTTCTTTGACTTCAATTTGAAGGGCGGAGCTTGAAGATCTTTCACTGCTTGAGGGCAAGGAACTAGCTGCAATTGAACTCGTTCCTTGTTCTTGCATTTCTACGTATAGAAAAAATGATTCAGAGATATTTTTCTTTGGGGGGGGGGAGGGGGGGAGGAGTATGGACATAAAATCGGGATATTAATGCAAGTGGAACAAAATTAGAAGAGTGTTGCAGAAAGAATGTGAACCGTTGGATTGGTCCTGAATCCAAGGGATGTAAACGAGTGAGCGTGGACTTATGGCAGCCATGAGGAGTTTCAGTGATCAAAGGCTGATGGGATGTGAGCGTGGAAGGACAGGAGTCGTTGATCGATAATTGATCGGACGGTTGGACAATAATTGAGAGTGGTAATGCAATGAATCGGGATTCGGGACCACATTGTGCTCTGTGAGACCGCTGCCAGAGTTTCCTATGTTACGTGATTAACTGATTAAAGAAATTGAATTATGGTGTTTTGATATGATTATTAATTTTATTATTAGGCTAATTAACTAATTAATTTTCTTGGGTAAAGTAAATTTTCATCTTCAGTTGTAAATTGTTCTTTAGGTATCGAAGTATCAACTCATCAATTGAGATCATAAGTAAGAAAAAAGGGCGAAGAAGATGACTAGTCAACGGCTAAAAAGTAAAAGCTGGATCATAAACGAACTGGTGACAACTTCTATAAAGGGGCACATAAAAAGGACTGGATGTTTTTGTTCATAGAAAGGTCGATGTTTTAGAGGCTAATCAACCCAATTTATGCAATGTTTTAGAGGCTAATCAACCCAATTTATGCAATTTTCACGTGCAAACGAACGAGTTATATTTGGATAGAGACTTGCATGTAATATTGGGCAATGTCACGAAATCTTTCAAATGGAATGACAGTCTGTGGGGGTTTAATCCGAGATGAGGACGGACAGTGGATACAAGGCTTTGCAAAAAGCATCTGTGCTTGTTCGATAATGGATATCGAGCTGTGGGGTGTGAGAAAGGTGCCATTGACGACCGGAAACGATGAACAGCCGGTGGCCTATGGAGAGGAATGAAGCCTTTGATTTATGAAATGCAGTTTTATTTATTAGTCACAGAAAGAATTAGTATATTGAAAGTA